TGTGCCAGAAAATATTCGATTAGTGTGCCTCGATTACTTCAAGGCTTTTCTGAATATGGAAGAGGAACGAACCCAGCGACGGTTGAGTTGTAGTAGATGAGTGATACAATCTCTGCCTCTCGTTCGGATGTTCGTTCCAGTTCTTTAATCTCGAGTATGCGGCGAATTTTCGTGAACAATACATTGAGAGACATGCAGCAAGAGCAGAAGATGAATACAACCATGGCTCGATCGTGTGATCGAGTCCATCTCATTCCTGTAACTCAGCTTTTTCGAAAAAAATAGAGTACATATATCGAGATATAAGTGAAGCAGAAGTGCATTGTGAAATAAGGGAAACCATGGCTCATCTAACCCGTGGATCTGGAGAATTGGCGGCCGGCTGCAAATGTAATCTACAGCGGCGATCGCAAATTTATTGAGCGCGTACATTAGTCAATAGCAGTCCTAGTTTAAGTTGAGAACAGTTCAAAGTTTAGAACATTGGCACTATCTTATTCTAACATTCAGAAGTACACACTTATACAGAGTGAAATTTGAGAAATATGCCTCCGTTACATTTATCGAATATTGTTTAAACACACTCTACAACATAATTCTAAAAGGCCCTATGACTGGACAAAGTAAGAAAGTAAATTTCTTGCCTTACAATTAATAAGCTGCGCTGATTGTTTGTTTGACACCATTAAAGTTGCCCATGTTGGTTAAATTTCACTCCACCCAAACTTATCAGAAATCAACAGATGTTCCTCTGTTACCAATTTCATCAGTCTCTATAGCATTTAAGATGGGTTGATGAGCAAAGGATCATTTGGAAGAGAATCGATAGTGGGGTGAATGCTTGTTGGATGCCTTGATTTTTTTATTGACCAGATATTGATCTCAATCTGTAGAGATTTTTCATTTTTCTCATCTCCAAAATTTCAATCGAAGCGACATTTGTCCAACAATGTCAAGCAGATAGATGATTGGTTTTATGAAAAAGCACTACATTTAGTTTTCTTCCAAGTTATGCATCCGTAAGAGCTTCGGCTCACGGAATCAAACTCGCGCGCACACTTTCGATGCCTTTCATAAATCTAAAGCTGTCCTTGAAAATGTTTGGAAAAGTAGGCGATAGTTCAATAACATTGGTAGCTATA